TCGCCGAGACGAAGTCGAGGTAAATATTCCCCGATAATCACCGAGCCTGAGGCGAATTGTTTTAGTATTTTTGCACATGTGTTTTTGCGAGGCGAATAATTGTTTTAGTATTTTTGTGCTTTTTTGTCTGAATTAATTTTAATTTCGCTTATTTCTTTATCACTGACTTCAACAAAACGGCTAGCCGCCATTTTGAAAATTTCGATTTTGATTAATACGTCAAATTTGAACAATCACCTTGTAGGATTTGTTATGTTCACTAGTGCATAAATACTAAAAGGTTATATTTCATTTAGGGGTCAGTCTTATTAATAGTTTGTTTGTGAATTTATTTGGATATATATCATTTTGATATTGAGCATAATAGTTTTCACCTAAATAAATTGTGCTTTATATATTTTCTATTTATGTGTATAATGCTAAGTCGAATAGAATGTTATTTTTTGCTATAAAATGTGTTGATTTAGGTTATGCTAGATGTCACTAAGATGGTTTCGATAAATTGAAACGTTCCATCGACTTGATCTCGATAAATCGAAACATTGACATGGTCTCGATAAATCGAAACATTGACTTGGTCTCGATAAATCGAAACATTCACATGTTCTCGATAAATTGAAACATTGACATGGTCTCGATAAATCGAAACATTGTTATAGTTTCCATAAATTGATCAGAGATGCCTTTGGTTAAATCAACATATTTTCACTGTTAGTTGTCATGCTACTTTTGCATTATTTGATCCTTTTCAGAAAAGACTATCAAATGTATTGTTAATTTTAGGCAAATTTGATTGTTTTGGAACGAGAAGAAAATTTAGATTCTTTTTTTTTTCACGAAAGGTGTTTTTAAGCAGCAATTTTTCTGTGTTTTTCAGCTTTGTACAAATTTGTTTAAAAATACGAAAATTGGCAATAGTAGAACGTGTTAATTTAGTCTAACATGCCAATTATCTATTAACTAAACTATGCTGTGAATTTAGAATTCGGAACCTGTTTAAAATTCAACCAAGTTCTGTTTGAAATTTACCAGGGTGACGATTCCTGCGTCAGCGTTTCCTCAAGGTACAAGGCCTGGCTCATAATATATGCCTTATACTATTGAATTAAATTACAATTACGCATGCGCTAACGCCAATCAGAGAAACGTGTATTTTACAGAATAGAACTGTTTTCTTTCGCACTTTTCTTCTCTAAGAAAAAGTGTTTTTTCGTCGGTTTTGGAAGTGGATGGCAGTAATCAAATGTATTTTAGAAAGATAATCGTAACATTACAATTTTTAATAGTTTCATATTCATTCACAGTTGTTTTCTGCCAAAATTTGCCTCGGCTCTTCATCGGACGTCGAATTGAACTTGTTTTTGGCAGTCACGAATGCATTAACTGTATTTTAGGTTACATCAAAAGTTTGTTATGGATATAAAGTAGTTTGTGTACATCATCTTTTGGATTGTGCTTATATTTGCTATTATTAATGTTTGAAGAAAATTGGTCTAGCACATATTGGATTGTTTAATTGAAAATCGCCTCTTGATGCCAGCTCTATAATAGTACTGAACCATGGCCATGCCAATTCTGCGACAGGAGTACACGTACGTTTGCTATCTACGCCGCCAGGATGATGAAATTTCAAACTATTATGTGCTTGAATCTCTTTAGGGTCGTTTCAAATTACGAATACGCCGAAAGTTCCATTTTATCGTTGGACACGATAGTGAAAAATATTCTGAAACTGAAATTCCTTGACAGAAAATGAACAGTAATTTGTTTGGAAAACTTATTAATAGTATCTGCGGAGAAAAGTTTGTCTACCGAAAGGGATGTACAAAAAACCTGGAGGTAAGAGTGAAAAGGGGTGAGAAAAGACGTATAAACGAGCTAGATGGAGACGCCTTAATTAAGAGAAATCCAGTCTCTTTGTCAAGAATGTGGTTGGTTACTTGACAAACCACAGATTGACCGAAAAATTGTCACCATGGTCAGACTTAACCAGTGATCAAGTTGTCGTAAAAGGACAGCGTATCGCGTTTACAGAATTACCATTAATAAGGATCGTCAACTTAGAATAAATTTGCGCTCATATGGACATGCTGTCCCCTTAAAAGAGATCAAAAGGAACGCACAAATCGGAATGCTCTATTAAAGTTATAGAAAAAGCCATGTATCTTTGCGAATTTGCTTCACCATGTATTGGCCGGGAAATACCTATCGAAGAGTCGTCACCATACAAAATGCCTATTTTGGGGGTCTAATGTTCCTTCTGCGATTTCAAGAGAATTATTCACGTTAGCTTCAAACTCTTGTCTTCTTGCAAACCTCCTTGGAAAAGCAAGCTCATCCTGTCTTTATGCGATGCGTTTATTCAGTAATAGGAACTTAAAACGAAAATCATCAAATCCAATCTGTAGTCCATCTAAAAAGTGCAACGTCCGGCCTTTCGCTAGAATTGGACAACAAGAGAAGATTGCATCTCAAAAAAAGAACTACCGAATAACGTTAGAAAGGAAACACGTGCTTTCCATTGTTGGAGTTCTTGGAGGAAGATAGCTTCGATCTGACGATAGTTTTTTGAAGAAATCAATACTGATGACGTACTGTCCTACATGAAATTGATTTGGGAGAAAAAAAATGAAAAAAAAACAATCCAGCACGTCACGAAATCCTCACATGGCCATCGTTGGGATCCACCGTATGTTTTACAAGATATATTAGTACTTTCATGCTTAATACATTTTGACGTTTTATGACGATTAGTGGTTTTGGTACGATATGATAATAGTTGCACAATATTTTGAAACGGTACAGATTACAGTGTATTCATTGGTTTAGTCATCCTATTTCAGATCCGCAATATATTTTTTCATTTTTTAAACTATAGCATTTGGTGTTTTACATATATTGCAAAAGCCCTAAAGCGTTAGATAACATAAGATAGGGGAATTTATAATTTTCCCAAGGAATCGACTTATAAGCTATACAAAATTTAAATCTCCTTTTACCTTTACTGGTTGACGTATTATACGACATGTGTAATACTACACGAATTTTAAGTTGCTTAATGAAAATAATGGACAAATACTCAGTAAAGGAAACCCTCTATGGCTCTATCTTTACATGATTCCAATCTCTCCATTTCACGGTATTTGACTGAAATGGCTTGTTCGCAACTGCTAAAAATCAAGACACTAGCTCTTCATAAAGCATCGCAACTGGTTGAGGAGAAAGACAAGTCGTTACTTGCAAAAATTGTGAAAGATACGGATAATGTATTATATAACCTACTCCCAGAAAGGAAATCCAGAACTTTAATAGAAAGAAAACACTCATTTATCCTACCTATGATCAAAACTGAAAGTTTTAAACGCTCATTTTTAAATAGATGCTTATTTGACTATTTAATTTAGCTATTTTAAGGTTACATCATATGATAGATTCATGTTTCAGAAAAATTGTCACTGCGTGCTCAATTTTTTAGTTACGTTCCACAAATTTGGTACATGCAGTGATAACTAACTGTAGAAGCTACTGTTTTAACCAAAATTCACCACCTTTTAACCTGTAGTCGCAATGAGACATCTTTTGAAAAATAGCACCTCCTGCACCACAAGATTTACCGACAGACCGTTTAACTCAGGAGCTCCCAAAATATCATATTTCTCATCTCAAATGCACAAAGAAGAAAAGTGTGTTCGCATTTTTTGACAGCTATTGTATTCGCTTTGATATAAAGCAGACAACTTGACTTATCTTACACGGGTATAAGCGGTTGAAGAGATGCTTCTAAATTGAAAAATAATGCACTAAAACGAAAACGCGAAAACAATTTTGTTCCTTTATTATTGATTAACATTGTGGTCAAGTTTGGGACGAATCGGATAAAACGTTCTGTCGTTAAACTGTTTTTTGTCGAGGAGATTGGGTAATTTTGCTTTGTCTTCAAATGACCATATAAGATTTGGCGAGGTTTCCACTTTTCTGTCATTTCTCCGCCCCCAATGTTAATCCACTTGTGGCGAAACCACAAAGTGTGAACTTTGCTGGCGTCAAATATCAAGGTGTGAAATTCACTAAAGTATAAGTTATTGTTCCGAGGCATATATCACTGCGACAACATTAGAAAGCTTATAATATAGTATTTACAGAATCTCTCGAAGCTCAAGCTATGCGCGATGTTGGCTTCGATGACTTTTCTACCGCGTTTGCGTTTTGGCTTAGACCGGTTCTTTACTAATTGTATTTAACCGCAAGAGGTCAGACTGACAATTCGAGTCAATCATAATTACAAGTTTCGTGCGAAGCTATTCAGTGGTCATAGCATATTCCCCTATATCTCGGTCGCTTTTAACATTTTCTTTAAAAAGTTGCTGGAATTGATAGATATATCATTACTTAATATAACTATATATTAATATCTGTCGTCACCATACTTACCCGTGTGGATGGTTAGGTGCAGACGTGGTCAGCTAATGATCTCCGGATTTGAGTTACTTGGATTCAGGTCCGTATCACGTGGACCTGTCCATTCAGGACCTGACCACCGAACGTCTGCACCTTATCACACCGAACTTAGTTCGATGGAAATTAAATTGAAAATCAATTGTAGTCATGAAAAAAAAAAATTGCTTCTTCTCTGAGCAGATAACCATTGCAGTTGGCTACGAATTAGCTAATGACCTGAGAGTCTGCTTGGCACTCTATATCCGATATCCTGAGGGCACATGTCGTACCCAAACTGCGCGCGGCTCCTATGATATTAACCTTGGTTACTATGTAACCTCATAAAAAAAATTTTTTGGACAAAATCAGAGTCTCATCATATATTGTAACCTTAATTTTATTAATTACTATAAAAAAATTGTACTTAATTCTACTTTTAATCACTGTAATTATAATTTAACGCAATTGGAATTGTGAAGACACGTTTGTTGTGCCTCTTTCCTCAATCTAATAAAGACGCAGAAGAAGATAAGATAAACCAGAAAAGGAGGAAAATATATTTAATGTTGCGTTGTGAAAAATGGGGAAAAATTCAAAGACCTTCAACTGCGAGTTTTTTCAGAAGTCCAAGGTTGCTGTATCAGAACTTGCAGGCATATCACAACAGTCGGGGATCGACCGCATCGAAATTTAAGCCTTCGCAATTGCTTGCCGAGCTTGAGGCTGATGACGATGAAGGACCCAACATTTCTAAGCAACGTTCGCCTACGCTATCATCAGATGACGACATCTTAGAAAAAGTAAGAATTCGGAAGAGAAAGTTATTTACTGCTCCCCTTGACGAAAAACTCGGATAATGAGTCGGCTAGTCACCCGAAACCGCCAACGTTGCCTACGGGAAGTAATGAAAACGAAGAAGTTCCATTCATTGTTGGTTCTAGCTTATACACAATGTCAATACAAATGCTTGTAGCCAAGGCTGTATTACAGGATCCAGACTAATACGCACGGATTCTGCCCAACAATGTCAACGGGGCTAAAAACGTCAAGCAAAATCCTACAGACAAAGGCATGAAACCATTCCTAACCGTGACTATTACATCAGACAGTCGGGGATCGAACCCACTGAAGGACCCAACACTTCTAAGCAATGTTGGCCTACCCTATTATCACATGACGACATTTCAGACAAAGTAGGAAATGGGAAGAGAAAGTTATTTACTGCTCCTCCTGACGAAAACTCGGATGAGTCGGCTAGTCAGTCCAAACCGCCAACATTGCCTACGGGAAGTAATGAAAACGAAGAGGCTGTTATCCTCGAGACAAAGGATCTAAAAAGAAGCATAAGAAGTCTAAGCATTAATTTACGGTTATTACAGTTTGCAAATACGTTGGTTTTTGTGTTGTTGTGTTGTTAGTACAGTAAACACATGAATGTCAGTGGATGCATGTTTTGCAAACACGCAGAAGGAAACAAGATAAACCAGAAAATGAAAAAATATATATTTAATGTTGCGTTGTGGAAAAGGGGAAAAAATTCAAAATGTAAAAAAAAATAGAAAATTAAAATCCCCAAAATATTCAAGTTTGTATACATAGTGGGAATTTGGGAAAACTAGAAAAAACCCAAAAATGATATGTTATTTCTAACCGTTAATGTGCGGTTATTACAGTTCTGGCATACGTTAGTTGTTGTGTTGCCAGAACAGTAAAAACATGAATGTCAGCGAATGAATGTTTGGTAAACACACAGAAGGAAATAAGATAAACCAGAAAATGAAAAAATATAGATTTAATGTTGCGTTGTGGAAAAGGGGAAAAAATTCAAAATGTACAAAAATAGAAAATTAAAACCCCCAAAATATTCAAGGTTGTATAACCTACATAGTGCGAATTTGGGAAAACAAGAAACTTACCAAAATTGATATAATGTTATTTCTAACCGTTAATGCGCGGTTATTACAGTTCTGGCATATGTTAGTTGTGTTGTTAGTACAGTAAAAACATGAATGTCAGTGGATGCATGTTTGGAAACACGCAGAAGGAAATGAGATAAACCAGAAAATGAAAAATATATATTTAATGTTGCGTTGTGAAAAAGGGAAAAAAATTCAAAATGTAAAAATAAAATAGAAAATTAAAACCCAGAAAATTTCAATTTTGTATAGATTTGGGAAAATAAGAAACTTACCAAAAATGATATGTTATTTCTAACCATTAATGGGCGGTTATTATAGTTCTGGCATACGTTAGTTTTCGTGTAGTTGTGTTGCCAGTTTAGTAAAAACGTGAATGTCAGTGGATGGCATGTTTTGCAAACACGCAGGAGGAGATAAGATAAACCAGAAAAGGAGAAAAATATATTTAATGTTGCGTTGGGAAAAAGGGGGAAAAATTCAAAGACGTTCAACTGCGAGTTTTTTCAGAAGTCCAAGGTTGCTGTATCAGAACTTGGAGGCAGAGTAGAGGAAAATTTGAGATCTTTGCTTCACAAGAATTACAAATTGATCAACGAAAAAAAGTTAAAAACATTTTATTGAGTCCACTCAGCCATTGTTAGAATCGCTAAAACCATTAAAAAAGGGTTCTGGGATAAAAATTGTAGAAAAACATATAGTACAGATGCTAAAAGAATTTCTTAAAGATGACAATGATACATTAGACATGATAACCCAGGCACTTATTGTTGGTTCTAGCTTATACACAATGTCAATACAAAAACTTGTAGCCAAGGGTGTATTACAGGATCCAGACCAATACGCATGGATTCTGCCCAACAATGTCAACGGGGCTAAAAATTTCAACCAAAATCCTACAGACAAAGGCATGAAACAATTCTTAACCGAGACCATCATATCAGACAGTCTGCGATCGACCTCATCGAAAGTTAAGCCGTCGCAATTGGTTGCCGAGCTTGAGGCTGATGACGATGAAGGACCCAATATTTCTAAGCAACGTTCGCCTACGCTATCATCAGATGACGACATCTTAGACAAAGTAAGAATTCGGAAGAGAAAGTTATTTACTGCTCCCCTTCACGAAAACTCGGATAATGAGTCGGCTAGTCACCCGAAACCGCCAACATTGCCTACGGGAAGTAATGAAAACGAAGAGGTTGTTATCCCTTGAGACAAAGGATCTAAAAAGAAGCATAAGAAGTCTAAGCATTAAGTTGCCGTTATTACAGTTCGCCAATAGTTTAGTTTTCGGGTGGTTGTGTTGTTAGTACGGTAAAAACATGAATGTCAGGGGATGAATTTTTGCAAACAAGCAGAAGGAAATAAGATAAACCAGAAAATGAAAAAATATATATTTAATCTTGCGTTGTGGAAAAGGGGAAAAAATCAAAATATAAAAAAATTGAAAATTAAAACCCAGAAAAATTTAAGTTTGTATACATAGTGGGATTTTTGGGAACATAAGAAACTTACCAAAAATGATATTTTATTTCTAACCATTAAAGCGCGGTTATTACAAAGACCTTCATCTTCGAGTTTTTTAAGTCCAAGGTTGTTGTATCAGAACTTGCAGGCAGTGTAGAAGAAAATTTGTGATCTTTGCTTGACAGGAATTACAAGTTGATCAACGAAAAAAAGTTAAAACATTTTATTGAGTCCATTCAGCCATTGTTAGAATCGCTGAAACAATTAAAAAATGGTTCTGGGATAAAAACTGAAGAAAAAAATATTGTGCAGATGCTAAAAGATTTCTTTTATAGATGGCAATGATACATTAGACATGATAACCCAGGCACTTATTGTTGGTTCTAGCTTATACACAATGTCAATACAAAAACTTGTAGCCAAGGGTGTATTACAGGATCCAAACCAATACACATGGATTCTGCCCAACAATGTCAACGGGGCTAAAAATTTCAATCAAAATCCGACGGACAAAGGCATGAAACGATTCTTAACCGAGACCATCATATCAGACAGTCGGGGATCGACGTCATCGAAATTTAAGCCTTCGCAATTGGTTGCCTAGCTTGAGGCTGATGACGATGAAGGACCCAACATTTCTAGGCAACGTTCGCCTACGCTATCATCAGATGACGACATCTTAGACAAAGTAGGAATTCGGAAGAGAAAGTTATTTACTGCTCCCCTTGACGAAAACTCGGATAATGATCGAGTCGGCTAGTCACCCGAAACCGCCAACATTGCCTACGGGAAGTAATGAAAACGAAGAGGTTGTTATCCCTTGCGACAAAGGATCTAAAAAGAAGCATAAGAAGTCTAAGCATTAAGTTGGGGTTATTACAGTTGGCCAATACTCTAGTTTTCCTGTTGTTGTGTTGTTAGTGCAATAAAAACATGAATGTCAGTGGATGAATTTTTGCAAACAAGCAGAAGGAAATAAGATAAACCAGAAAATGAAAATATATATATATATATATATATATATATATATATATATATATATATATATATATATATATATATATATATATATATATATATATATATATAATCTTGTGTTGTGGAAAAGGAGAAAAAATTCAAAATATAAAAAAATAGAAAATTAAAACCCAGAAAAATTTAAGTTTGTATACATAGTGGGATTTTTGGGAAAATAAGAAACTTACCAAAAATGATATCTTATTTCTAACGATTAATGCGCGGTTATTACAGTTCGGGCATACCTTTGTTTTCCTGTTGTTGTGTTGTTAGTATAGTAAAAACATGAATGTCGCTGGATGGCATGTTTTGCAAACACGCAGAAGGGGATAAGTTAAAACAGAAAAAAAAAATTAATGTTGCGTTGCGAAAAAGAGGAAAAGTTCAAAGACCTTCAACTTCGAGTTTTTCAGAAGTCCAAGGTTGCTGTATCAGAACTTGCAGGTAGTGTAGAACAAAATTTGAGATCTTTGCTTGACAAGAATTACAAATTGATCAACAAAAAAAAAAGTTTAAAACATTTTATTGAGTCCACTCAGCCATTGTTAGAATCGCTGAAACCATTAAGAAACCATGAAGAAAAACATATAGTGCAGATGCTAAAAGAATTTTTTAAAGATAACAATGATGCATTAGACATGATAAACGAGGCATTTGTTGATGGTTCTAGCTTATACACAATGTGAATACAAATGCTTGTAGCCAAGGCTGTATTACAGGATCCAGACCAATAGGCACGGATTCTGCCAACAATGTCAACGGAGCTAAAAATTTCAAGCAAAATCCTACAGTCAAAGGCATGAAACGATTCCTAACCGAGACTATCATATCACAACAGTCGGGGATCGACCGCATCGAAATTTAAGCCTTCGCAATTGCTTGCCGAGATTGAGGCTGATGACGATGCAGGACCCAACATTTCTAAGCAACGTTCGCCTACGCTATCATCAGCTGACGACATCTTAGACAAAGTAGGAATTCGGAAGAGAAAGTTATTTACTGCTCCCCTTGACGACAACTCGGATAATGAGTCGGCTAGTCACCCGAAACCGCCAACATTGCCTACGGGAAGTAATGAAAACGAAAAGGTTGCATTTATTGTTGGTTCTAGCTTATACACAATGTCAATACAAATGCTTGTAGCCAAGGCTGTATTACAGGATCCAGACGGATATGCACGGATTCTGCCCAACAATGTCAACGGGGCTAAAAATTTCAAGCAAAATCCTACAGACAAAGGCACGAAACCATTCCTAACCGTGACTATTATATCAGACAGTCGGGGATCGACCCCACTGAAGGACCCAACACTTCTAAGCAACGTTGGCCTACCCTATTATCACATGACGACATCTTAGACAAAGTAGGAATTGGGAAGAGAAAGTTATTTACTGGTCCTCTTCACGAAAAACTCGGATAATGAGTCGGCTAGTCAGCCCAAACCGGCAACATTGCCTACGGGAAGTAATGAAAACGAAAAGGTTGCATTTATTGTTGGTTCTAGCTTATACACAATGTCAATACAAATGCTTGTAGCCAAGGCTGTATTACAGGATCCAGACGGATACGCACAGATTCTGCCCAACAATGTCAACGAAGGAACAAATTTCAAGCAAAATCCTACAGACAAAGGCATGAAACCATTCCTAACCGTGACTATTATATCGGACAGTCGGGGATCGAACCCACTGAAGGACCCAACACTTCTAAGCAACGTTGGCCTACCATATTATCACATGACAACATCTTAGACAAAGTAGGAATTGGGAAGAGAAAGTTATTTACTGCTCCTCTTGGCGAAAACTCGGATAATGAGTCGGCTAGTCAGCCGAAACCGCCAACATTGCCTACGGGAAGTAATGAAAACGAAGAGGCTGTTATCCCTCGAGACAAAGGATCTGAAAAGAAGCATAAGAAGTCTAAGCATTAATTTACGGTTATTACAGTTTGCAAATACGTTGGTTTTTGTGTTTTTGTGTTGTTAGTACAGTAAACACATGAATGTCAGTGGATGCATGTTTTGCAAACACGCAGAAGGAAACAAGATAAACCAGAAAGTGAAAAAATATATATTTAATGTTGCGTTGTGAAAAAGGGGAAAAAATTCAAAATGTAAAAAAAAAATAGAAAATTAAACCCCCAAAATATTCAAGTTTGTATACATAGTGGGAATTTGGGAAAACAAGAAACTTACCAAAAATGATGTTATTTCTAACAGTTAATGTGCGGTTATTACAGTTCTGGCATACGTTAGTTGTGTTGTTAGTACAGTAAAAACATGAATGTCAGTGGATGCATGTTTTGCAAACACGCAGAAGGAAATGAGAAAAACCAGAAAATGATAAAAAAAAAAATTTAATGTTGCGTTGTGAAAAAGGGGAAAAATTCAAAATAGGAAAAAATAATAGAAAATTAAAACCCGCAAAATATTCAAATTTGTATAACCTACATAGTGGGAATTTGGAAAAACAAGAAACTTACCAAAAATGAAATGTTATTTCTAACCGTTAATGTGCGGTTATTACAGTTCTGGCATGTGTTAGTTGTGTTGTTAGTACAGTAAAAACATGAACGTCAGTGAATGCATGTTTTGGAAACACGCAGAAGGAAGTGAGATAAACCAGAAAATTAAAAAAAAATTTAATGTTGAGTTGTGAAAAAGCGAAAAAAATTCAAAGACCTTCCACTGCGAGTTTTTTTAGAAGCCCAAGGTTGCGGTATCAGAACTTGCAGGCAGTGTACAGGAAAATTTGAGATCTTTGCTTCACAAGAATGACAAATTGATCAACGAAAAAAAGTTAAAATATTTTATTGAGTCCATTCAGCCATTGTTAGAATCGCGGAAACCATTAAAAAAGGGTTCTGGGATAAAAATTGAAGAAAAACAGATAGTGCAGATGCTAAAAGATTTTTTTTAAAGATTACAATGATACATTACACATGATAACCCTGGCACTTATTGTTGGTTCTAGCTTATACACAATGTCAATACAAAAACTTGTAGCCAAGGCTTTATTACAGGATCCAGACCAATACGCATGGATTCTTCCCAACAATGTCAACGGGGCTAAAAATTTCAAGCAAAATCCTACAGACAAAGGCATGAAACGATTCTTAACCAAGACCATCATATCAGACAGTCGGGGATCGACCTCATCGAAATTTAAGCCTTCGCAATTGCTTGCCGAGCTTGAGGCTGATGACGATGAAGGACCCAACATTTCTAAGCAACGTTCGCCTACGCTATCATCAGATGACGACATCTTAGACAAAGTAGGAATTCGGAAGAGAAAGTTATTTACTGCTCCTCTTGACGAAAACTCGGATAATGAGTCGGCTAGTCACCCGAAACCGCCAACATTGACTACGGGAAGTAATGAAAATGAAGAGGTTGTTATCCCTTGAGACAAAGGATCTAGAAAGAAGCATAAGAAGTCTAAGCATTAAGTTGCGGTTATTACAGTTCGCCAATACTTTAGTTTTCGTGTTGTTGTGTTGTTAGTACAATAAAAACATGAATGTCAGTGGATGAATTTTTGCAAACAAGCAGAAGGAAATAAGATAAACCAGAAAATGAAAAAATATATATTTAATCTTGTGTTGTGGAAAAGGAGAAAAAATTCAAAATATAAAAAAATAGAAAATTAAAACCCAGAAAAATTTAAGTTTGTATACATAGTTGGATTTTTGGGAACATAAGAAACTTACCAAAAATGATATTTTATTTCTAACCATTAATGCGCGGTTATTACAAAGACCTTCAACTTCGAGTTTTTTAAGTCCAAGGTTGTTGTATCACAACTTGCAGGCAGTGTAGAAGAAAATTTGTGATCTTTGCTTGACAGGAATTACAAGTTGATCAACGAAAAAAAGTTAAAACATTTTATTGAGTCCATTCAGCCATTGTTAGAATCGCTGAAACAATTAAAAACTGGTTCTGGGATAAAAACTGAAGAAAAACATATAGTGCAGATGCTAAAAGATTTTTTTATAGATGGCAATGATACATTAGACATGATAACCCAGGCACTTATTGTTGGTTCTAGCTTATACACAATGTCAATACAAAAACTTGTAGCCAAGGGTGTATTACAGGATCCAAACCAATACACATGGATTCTGCCCAACAATGTCAACGGGGCTAAAAATTTCAATCAAAATCCGACGGACAAAGGCATGAAACGATTCTTAACCGAGACCATCATATCAGACAGTCGGGGATCGACGTCATCGAAATTTAAGCCTTCGCAATTGGTTGCCTAGCTTGAGGCTGATGACGATGAAGGACCCAACATTTCTAGGCAACGTTCGCCTACGCTATCATCAGATGACGACATCTTAGACAAAGTAGGAATTCGGAAGAGAAAGTTATTTACTGCTCCCCTTGACGAAAACTCGGATAATGATCGAGTCGGCTAGTCACCCGAAACCGCCAACATTGCCTACGGGAAGTAATGAAAACGAAGAGGTTGTTATCCCTTGCGACAAAGGATCTAAAAAGAAGCATAAGAAGTCTAAGCATTAAGTTGGGGTTATTACAGTTGGCCAATACTCTAGTTTTCCTGTTGTTGTGTTGTTAGTGCAATAAAAACATGAATGTCAGTGGATGAATTTTTGCAAACAAGCAGAAGGAAATAAGATAAACCAGAAAATGAAAATATATATATATATGAAAATATATATATATGAAAATATATATATATATATATATATGAAAATATATATATATATATATATATATATATATATATATATATATATATATATATATATATATATATATATATATATATATATATATATATAATCTTGTGTTGTGGAAAAGGAGAAAAAATTCAAAATATAAAAAAATAGAAAATTAAAACCCAGAAAAATTTAAGTTTGTATACATAGTGGGAATTTGGGAAAATAAGAAACTTACCAAAAATGATATCTTATTTCTAACGATTAATGCGCGGTTATTACAGTTCAGGCATACCTTTGTTTTCCTGTTGTTGTGTTGTTAGTATAGTAAAAACATGAATGTCGCTGGATGGCATGTTTTGCAAACACGCAGAAGGGGATAAGTTAAAACAGAAAAAAAAAATTAATGTTGCGTTGCGAAAAAGGGGAAAAGTTCAAAGACCTTCAACTTCGAGTTTTTCAGAAGTCCAAGGTTGCTGTATCAGAACTTGCAGGTAGTGTAGAACAAAATTTGAGATCTTTGCTTGACAAGAATTACAAATTGATCAACAAAAAAAAAAGTTTAAAACATTTTATTGAGTCCACTCAGCCATTGTTAGAATCGCTGAAACCATTAAGAAACCATGAAGAAAAACATATAGTGCAGATGCTAAAAGAATTTTTTAAAGATAACAATGATGCATTAGACATGATAAACGAGGCATTTGTTGATGGTTCTAACTTATACACAATGTCAATACAAATGCTTGTAGCCAAGGCTGTATTACAGGATCCAGACCAATAGGCACGGATTCTGCCAACAATATCAACGGAGCTAAAAATTTCAAGCAAAATCCTACAGTCAAAGGCATGAAACGATTCCTAACCGAGACTATCATATCACAACAGTCGGGGATCGACCGCATCGAAATTTAAGCCTTCGCAATTGCTTGCCGAGATTGAGGCTGATGACGATGCAGGACCCAACATTTCTAAGCAACGTTCGCCTACGCTATCATCAGATGACGACATCTTAGACAAAGTAGGAATTCGGAAGAGAAAGTTATTTACTGCTCCCCTTGACGAAAACTAGGATAATGAGTCGGCTAGTCACCCGAAACCGCCAACATTGCCTACGGGAAGTAATGAAAACGAAGAGGTTGCATTTATTCTTGGCTCTAGCTTATACACAATGTCAATACAAATGCTTGTAGCCAAGGCTGTATTACAGGATCCAGACGGATATGCACGGATTCTGCCCAACAATGTCAACGGGGCTAAAAATTTCAAGCAAAATCCTACAGACAAAGGCACGAAACCATTCCTAACCGTGACTATTATATCAGACAGTCGGGGATCGACCCCACTGAAGGACCCAACACTTCTAAGCAACGTTGGCCTACCCTATTATCACATGACGACATCTTAGACAAAGTAGGAATTGGGAAGAGAAAGTTATTTACTGGTCCTCTTCACGAAAAACTCGGATAATGAGTCGGCTAGTCAGCCCAAACCGGCAACATTGCCTACGGGAAGTAATGAAAACGAAAAGGTTGCATTTATTGTTGGTTCTAGCTTATACACAATGTCAATACAAATGCTTGTAGCCAAGGCTGTATTACAGGATCCAGACGGATACGCACAGATTCTGCCCAACAATGTCAACGAAGGAACAAATTTCAAGCAAAATCCTACAGACAAAGGCATGAAACCATTCCTAACCGTGACTATTATATCAGACAGTCGGGGATCGAACCCACTGAAGGACCCAACACTTCTAAGCAACGTTGGCCTACCCTATTATCACATGACGACATCTTAGACAAAGTAGGAATTGGGAAGAGAAAGTTATTTACTGCTCCTCTTGGCGAAAACTCGGATAATGAGTCGGCTAGTCAGCCCAAACCGCCAACATTGCCTACGGGAAGTAATGAAAACGAAGAGGCTGTTATCCCTCGAGACAAAGGATCTGAAAAGAAGCATAAGAAGTCTAAACATTAATTTACGGTTATTACAGTTTGCAAATACGTTGGTTTTTGTGTTGTTGTGTTGTTAGTACAGTAAAAAAATGAATGTCAGTGGATGCATGTTTTGCAAACACGCAGAAGGAAACAAGATAAACCAGAAAATGAAAAAATATATATTTAATGTTGCGTTGTGGAAAAGGGGAATAAATTCAAAATGTACAAAAATAGAAAATTAAAACCCCCAAAATATTCAAGGTTGTATAACCTACATAGTGCGAATTTGGGAAAACAAGAAATTACCAAATTTGATGTTATTTCTAACCGTTAATGTGCGGTTATTACAGTTCTGGCATATGTTAGTTGTGTTGTTAGTACAGTAAAAACATGAATGTCAGTGGATGCATGTTTGGAAACACGCAGAAGGAAATGAGATAAACCAGAAAATGAAAAAATATATATTTAATGTTGCGTTGTGAAAAAGGGGAAAAAATTAAAAATGTAAAAAATAAAATAGAAAATTAAAACCCAGAAAAATTCAACTTTGTATAGATTTGGGAAAATAAGAAACTTACCAAAAATGAGATGTTATTTCTAACCATTAACGCGCGGTTATTACAGTTCTGGCATACGTTAGTTTTCACGCAGGAGGAGATAAGATAAACCAGAAAAGGAAAAACATATATTTAATGTTGGGTTGTATTTTATTTAGTCCATTCAGCCATTGTTAGAATCGTTGAAACCATTATGACAATGATACATTGGACATGATAAACAAGGCTTTTATTGTTGGTTCTAGCCTATACATGATGTCAATACAAATGCTTGTAGCCAAGGCTGTATTACAGGATGCAGACTACTACGCAGGGATTCTGCCCAAGAATGTCAACGGGTCTAAAACTTTCAAGAAAAATCCTACAGTCAAAGGTGTGAAACGATTCCTAACCGAGACTATCATATTAGGCAGTCGGGGATCGACCCCATCGAAACTTAAGCCTTCGCAATTGCTTGCCGAGCTTGATGCTGATGACGATGAAGGACCCAACACTTCTAAGCAACGTTCGCCTACGCTATCATCAGATGACGACATCTTAGACAAAGTAGGAATTGGGAAGAGAAAGCTTTTACTGCTCCTCTTGACGAAAACTCGGATAATGATATAATGTTATTTCTAACCATTAATGTGCGGTTATTACAGTTCTAGCATACGTTAGTTTTCGTGTCGTTGTGTTGTAAGTATAGTAAAAACATGAATGTCATGGATGGCATGTTTTGCAAACACGCAGAAGGAGATAAGATAAACCAGAAAAGGGGAAAATATATTTAATGTTGCGTTGTGAAAAATTGAAAATGTAAAAAAAATAGAAAATTAAATCTAAAAATGATATATTTGAAAGCAAATAGAGTTTTTATGAGTTTCTTGGTTGAAAATTTTAATCCAAGTTGATCACACGGAAGTTGCCGATGTGAAGGAAGAAGCGAGGGGGATTGGTGACGAGCCTCGGTCTGGTGTAGAACACCGACATAAAACCAAGACTACCACGTGAGATCGGCCTCATTTGCCGCTTGATTTCGCTGATAACAGCAGAGAAATTTTGATGTCTTGGATATTTTCAATCCTTCACATCTTGTGTTAAATATATATTGGTAAGAAATCCTTTTAGTAATTAACTTTCATTTACAAAGTTTTGTTTACGATCTTAATTTCTCTTGCATTGATTTTACTAAATGTAATATTTTGTGTTTGGATTTGTGTTTTAAGTCAACGTTTAGCCATGGCAAACACAGACCCTGAAGTTATCATTTTAGGTCACTCTTTTGTAAAACGTCTTCAGCGTGATTTAAATTCATCTTTCCATCCAAGGGCACGTAAAGATTTTAAACTTCGAGGTACAGCGTCTGTCTCTTTTCACGGCGTAGGAGGCAGAACTGTGAGTAAACTACGCCAATTTGATTTAAACATTTTGAGTCGATTACGTCCAGTTATTGTTATTCTGGAAATAGGAACCAACGATCTTAGCCATCAAAGGCCTGAGGTTGTTGGATCCTCGATTGATGATTTAGTTTGCCATATTCTAGGCGAATTTTCGAGCGTCCTAGCTATAGGTGTTTGCCATGTGATTCCCCGCAGTTATTCGTATCTGGCGGCCGAACAATTTTTTCAACAGGTAAAGCTTTTGAATCAATATCTAAGCGTTGTATTGGAGCAATATCCTAATGTTTTTTTGTTGGCAACACAAGCAATTTAACAGTATATTTAAGGATTTATATTTACATGATGGAGTTCACCTCAATAGATTAGGTCAATATTTTTTATACCGTAGTTATCGAGGTGCCATATTACAAGTTTTGAGCATGCTGCAGTTATAGGTTTAGGTGAGTATAGCACTAGCCACTGCGTCAACCATGTGTTTGATAAGGCTATCGTGTTACATTTTTACATTTGTAATTAGTTTTTATTAATTCCTTGTTTGCCAATTTTGAAGTAACACTGTCATTGTATTTATATCATGGGGATATAGTAATTTATTGAGACATTGGCATTGTCCAGCTCACTTTAATTTATATCGGTAATTTAATGCTATTTAACATGAGCATTTGGCTGTTTATAAGTTGGCCTTTAATGCCAGTGTGGGTTTATAACTCTAACTTATATCATTTGGCAGGTTTACAATTGTGCCCTTAAGGTCTTTGTTACCTTTTGGCGATATATTATATATTTTTCATGACAGTGTGGTTTAATATAATCATTTGGCACTTTTTCAATTTTGTCAGTGGGGTCTTTGTTACCTTTTGGCGATATATTATATATTTTTCATGCCAGTGTGGTTTAATATAATCATTTGGCAGCTCTACAATTTTGCCAGTGAGGTCTTTGTTACCTTTTGGCGATATATTATATATTTTTCATGCCAGTGTGGTTTAAGATAATCATTTGGTTTGTTACATTTTTGCCAGTGAGGTCTTTGTTACCTTTTGGCGATATATTATATATTTTTCATGCCAGTGTCGTTTAAGATAATCACTTGGTTTGTTACATTTTTGCCAGTGAAGTCTTTGTTACCTTTTGGCAATATATTATATATTTTTTATGCCAGTGTGGTTTATTATAATCATTTGGCTTCTTTACACTTTTGCCAGTGAGGTGCGTTGCCTTTTGGCTAGTTGTGTTTATAAAAATTTGCATGCCAGTGTGGGGTTTATATAACTTTTCAGGTCAAATAGCTGCCAAGTTATGTATGTTTCTTTCATATAGTATAATATGCCTCGGCGTGCAACACGATCCACCTCGAATCCGGGTCCAAGCGCAGCAGACGTTGTTTCAACTGTGAACCGCCCAGCTGTAAAACAGCCAGCCAAAAAGGCAACTCGACCAGCAAAGAAGTCAAGGTCAACATCCAGCCAAATACCCGTACAAGCGGTTGAAGTTGCAGCAACAGCACTGACCCCAGATCTACTTGAGCAGCTGGTGACAAAGGTTGCTGATGTTGTGATACAGAGACTATCTGGAAATTCCATGGGTACCAATCCAACCGCTTCAGTCAGCCTACCAGGGTTGTCGAGTCCACATCCGCCAGATGCCAGCATTCTACGGCAGCCAGTAGACCACAACATCTTGCAGAAAGTCCAACCTACAATAGATTCCCTGGTCGAAGTAGCTGTGGGGCGCAGTCCCAAGAAGCTATCGCAGGTATACGTTATGGTGATACACCATCTATTCCAAAAACTATTTTCCATTCAAGCAGCCTGGAAATAGATTCTAGAGTGAACGATAGAGTAAAAGCCAAAATTTGGAATAATGAATATGTGGAATTTAGTACCCTTATTTCTAGTCAAGGGAACAATAAGTTCCAATTGTCTTTTCAAAGTTTAGAGGGTAATAATGGTCCATCTATTTGTCTCGAGCCAATTAACCGGAGCCAAAAAATTCTCAATATTAATCAATGGCTCCAAGCATTTCATATATTTGTAGGAGTCTACACTCGTAGATTTCCAAATGAATCACCGGGGTTGATGAAGTACTGTGAAATAATCCAAGACTTAGCGTCACGGGGTTTCAACTGGAAATTTTATGATGAGAACTTCCGTTTTTTAAGACAAAATCCCGCTTCAGCCTTGCCTTGGGGAAGTGTTCATTTACTGTCCCAGCCATTTACTGGCCCTGCCAAAGGTAGCGATAATCAACGTGTACCACATGGTTTTTGTTTCAAATTCCATCGTGGGTTAGATTGTGCAGGTTGTGCTTTCAAACACACATGCTTTCATTTCCAACGCGAGCATCGAGCGAGTCAGTGTAATTTTTTTCGTACCCAAGGCAAAGCTTTTGGCAAAAACACACAATTTCACAGACAGGCAGCTCCCCAATCCGGTAAAAGTTGATCGTTTAGTAATTTTTCTGGAAGGATATGATCAGTTATTAACTGAATTTTTGGCACATGGTTTTAGTGAAGGTTTTCCTTTACATTATCAAGGCGCTTATAAATCATTTATTGCAAAAAATTTAGTATCTGCTTTGAGCAATCCACAGGCAGTCGATGCAAAAATTTCAAAGGAATTGTCGGTCTGTCGTTTAGCAGGTCTTTTGATAAACCACCCTTCCAAGATATTTGGGTATCTCCTTTGGGAGTTGTTCCTAAGAACGTGCCTGGCGAATTTCGTCTTATTCATCATCTTTCATACCCACATGGGTCATCTGTAAACGATGGTATACATCATGAGCATTCAACTGTTTCTTATTGTACAATAGACGATGCTATGAAGCTTATTAAGCAATTAGGTCCAGGATGTTTTATTGCAAAAACAGACATTAAAAATGCTTTTCGACTATTACCAATTCAGCCGAAAGATTATCCTTTATTAGGAATAATGTGGAAGGGGGTTTATTATTATGATCGCTGTATGCCTATGGGTTGCTCGAGTTCTTGTTCAACTTTTGAGAAATTTAGGGTTTGGTGCTGTATTTGGAAACCATTGGTGCTATGGGAAATGGCCTGATAATTGGGTTAACACTCACATTGCAATATTAGAATTTTATCCAATTGTTTTGAGCTTGCATTTGTGGGGTGCAGATATGAGTAACCGCTCAATTATATTTTATACTGACAACGAAGCTTTAGTTCATGTCATTAACAAACAGTCATGCAAGGAGAAAACTTTAATGGTCTTTGTCCGTAGACTTGTTTTGCTTTGTTTACAATTTAATATCATGTTTAAGGCAAAACATTTACCGGGTATTAGGAATAATTTAGCGGATGCTCTGTCTCGCTTACAGGTGCAGAGATTTCAACAATTGGCTCCACCAACTATGGACCATTCACCAACCGTCATACCTGTCCGTCTGCAGCCAGAGAATTGGTCCCTACAGTAGCGAGTCTAGTGCTATCTAGCCTTCAACCTTCTTCTCGACCAACCTATCGTAGGGCATGGAAGCTATTTGAGCAATTCCACGGGGTGTTGTTTCAGGGTTTTTCAATATCATTTCCAATTAAACCAGCTGTGTTGGCTTTGTTTGTCGCGCACCTGTACAATAAACGGTACGCTTCATCTACAGTTAACACCTAGGTGTCCGCATTAGGTTATTTGCACAAATTATCCGGTTATGCAGATCCTACCAAGGTTTTTTTACATTAAGCAGATGTTAAAAGGTTACCTCAAGTTAGGGTGTCGCCTAGACACCAGGTTGCCCATCACACTGCCTTTATTTCACAGGATAATTGCTATTACTCATCAATGTTCTATATCACAATATGAGATTACACTTTTTCAAGCAATGTGCTCTACTGCATTCCATGCATTTTTGCGGGTTGGTGAAATGACAGCTACTCACAATAAGGGGGTTCAATCAAACTTAGATCTGACCCAGCTGACTAAGATGGTAGATAGTTCGGGCAAAGTTGTGTCTAAAAAAATCACTTTTTTTAATTTCAAACACAATTACAACCAGCGCCCGTTCTCCGTTATTGTTAAGAAGCAATTACATTTTTGTCCTGTATCTAAGCAACAGAGGTTTACAACAAGGTTTTTTGTTTGTTTTGTCAAATGGAAATCCTGTTCCTCGTAACTATTTCGCACAACAACTGGCATTAGCTCTTAAATTTTGCAATTTAAGCCCTAATGTTTATAAGGGTCACAGTTTTCGGATAGGGGCTGCTTCTCATGCTGCAGATCGGGGTATGTCGGATGCTCAAATACGTGCTCTCGGTAGGTGGAAGTCCAATGCATTTCTGAAATATATCCGACTTCCTTCCCTTTCTTCTTGAATTTGTTTATTTATAAGGATGAGTGGAAAACTGATTAGCAAGGGCAGCAGTTTCTTACTGGTCCTCTATTACGGAATGCTATGTAAGCATTGTTATTAACTATACACATTAATATTACTATAATTATATAGCGAACATCGGTTGGACTGATTAGCAAGGGC